GTGCGAATGATGCGCAATTAACATGAGAAATAGAGCACAAAATTCTCTACATAATGAACTAATTTTTAATTTGTTTGCTTAAAATTCTTCGTTGAAACAAAGATCTTTAAGTTCATCTCAGAAATAGGCGTGACATCGGATTTCTTGAAGGCCTCAGGTTCAATATTTCTCTAGGCGTGATAGGTCCAAAAACGGATGGAAACATGCTATAATTGACCACGCTGAATCTTGTGGCAACGTTAATTTTTCCAAAAACATTTCAGGAACCTATTGAAAATCTACATTAGATGGAACAACCGATTAGTGCCTATTTTTGAGTAAAATTAAAAAATCCATAATTCAGTCAAGATCCATCCAAATTATGTCAGAATATCACCAAATACTCTATTTTATGTGCTCAATACGATGTTTTACTTGAGAATAAAGTAAATAAGTAAAAAGTATTCTTTTACTTCGGAAGATTTCCAGAAAATCTTTTAAAAACTTACAGTATTTTCATTTTTAAATCTTTCATTGAGCTGCATGGTATTGAGAACATGGACAGTAGTACAGTAATTTTTGAGACGAAGTTTAAAAAAAATCGCCAGGTCTCTCGGGGTGCGAATGCTTCGGCATCGACACACTCTGAGACTGGGCTGTAGCAGGCGTTTTCCATTATTCGTGATTCAAGCAAATTACGTAGTGTCGGCATCATCGGCTGACGGTTTCGGCCTTGCCCAAGGGTCTGCCTCTTCAGAAGGTTAGGAAATGTTAATTGTAATGTTGATTCAAAGTGAATGGATTTCGAGTGGTGACATCCGGTATGTGTGTCTCCTTTGATACTTTCCAGTGTCCATGAAATATGTATTTATGTATGATCAGTTCACCGATTGCTATGTTGACGAACCCCAACAAGAAAGCAGCAACGGGTCCTCTGAATGATATGGCGACAATCAAGAGCAAGAGATGTGTTAAGCTTGGATTCATTATAGTTACTCCCGTGGGTTTAGTCCAATACACATACTGTAGGTAATCACGAACAGCAAAGAGATCAACTATACTAAGGAAAAATCTGCTGTTATCTTGTACTAAACAAGAAAAGAAAAAACACGAGCGAGTTTCTTTTACATTGAGATAAAAGCAGCAACGTTGTGATGCGCAAGAGAATTTTACTTCTTCCACCATCACCATCACACAGATAACAGAAGTTAACAACACGACAGTGACAGAAGCACATAGAGAAAAAAAAGAGAAAGTCGCTTCTTTTCGCTAGAAGTCTCCACAAAGCAAAAAAGTTCTCTATCTTTATCGTATTAACTACAGTATGTCGACGTTCGTCACACGAGTAACTCGACTAGATCGCGTACGATTGAAAATTTGTTTATTGTCTGGCTTGATTCTAATAGGTTACACGCGTGTTCGCACGCAGTGAAGTTTCAAACGCATCTAAAATGAAACAAATGTTGCATAACAGAGCTAATACGGGTACGGAAAAATTGAAACCGGAGCGGCCGGTAACCGACCGGTTTTTTTCTTTCTTATAAACCGGTGAAAAACCGGCAAATCATCCAGTTTTTGTGGTTTATATAAACTGGCAAAAACCGGTGAAAACTGGCCGGTTTGAAAATCACACCGAACCAGGCCGGACTGGTCGACCGGGTGCGTGTGGGTGTACATTGTCTCATCTCATCTCCTTAGAGATCACATTGCATGTTAATGGATAATATTTTTTTTATCAATGGTACGATGTGGCGAAGTGTGTTGTTTTCTTTTAGAATGAAATAGTGATATTTCTCTCAATATTCTTCCACAGAACAGAACAATCATATTCTTTTGTTGGGAATATTTCCCTGATAACGGGGCAAATGTGTTCTATTCTGTGAATTCTTTTCCCACAGACAGAACCTTTTTGTTCTGCTTGTGGGAACAGAGATTTATGGGACAGTTCAGTTCAATAAAGTTTCCGTAAGCCCACGGCGCCACTCCGAGCACAAAAAAGCCTAATCCTTTATCTCTTGATTTTATGCTATTCGAGAATTCTTTTTGTTCTTGGATCAGATAGTGCATAATTAATACAATGAAATTGACAATGTTCTTGACAATGTTGAGAATAGCCATGTTTCTGATACAACAATGCGATGCTTATTTGTTTCTGTAAACGTTTTTTTTCATCTTGTTCTATTGAAAACTTTTTAACCATACCTGCAAACACGAGTCATTTGTCAGCAATCCAGAAGGAATAAGTCTTCCTTAGTGGTTTAACTAGCTTTCAGCCCTCTTTTCCCTAGAGAAATTGAGTCCCAATTCCAATCTTTTTCCAATTTTATAAAGAGGCTTGTTTTTCGCCAAATCATATTAATTCAGTTTAATTTTCAGCTTGTTAAGTTCATAATGCTTGACCAAGCCCTTGGACAACAAATTCGGTAGTGGATTTACCTTTCAATACACTCCATGCTTCTACTCCATCGGTAACAAATTCATCAAGTCCAGCAAGAGCATGTTGTTGACTTGGATTTATTGAATTTAACATTTCATACAATTTTCTAACACTATCCTTTAAAATTGGTTTCTGGAATATACAGTCATAGAAAAAAAGCGCTTTTCTATATTACAAGTTTCTCCTCACATACCATCACAATACTTTTTGTATTGCATTATGACATGATATTTCTGTGATTGCAATATTTGCTTCGGTAGTTCAATTTTTGTACCATCGTCCATTTTGATTTTAGTTAGACCATATGTTCTTATTCCAAGCACAAATATGATTTATAATTATTCTGTAAATTTTCAGCAAGACTTTCGCAACTACCTGATACCATACTACCGCTTTCGATTAGCCATGATATTTTTCTTGTCTGTCTATTCATTAATTGGTAATCATTGCTAATTAATTGCTATATATTCTTCTTATATATATTTTCTTTAATTTAAATGTTCTTTAATTGATTTGGTGATCAAAAGTGTAGTTTT